CCTCCCTCACTCTGTCACTAGACTCTGTCACTAGAGTGAGGGAATGACTAGTGACAGAGTGAGGGAAGGGGTGACTAGTGGCAGAGTGAGGGAAGGAAGGGATGACTGGTGACAGAGTGAGAGGATGACTGGTGACATAGTGAGTTAGGGGGTGACTAGTGACAGAGTAAGGGACGGAGGGGGTGACTAGTGACAGAAAGAGGGAGGGACTAGTGACAGAGTGAGGGAGGTGGTGACTAGTGACAGAGTGAGGGAGGTGGTGACTAGTGACAGTCACCACCTCCCTCACTCTGTCACTAGTCACCCCTTCCTTTCCTCACTCTGCCACTAGTCACCCCTTCCCTCACTCTGTCACTAGTCACCCCCTCACTCTAGTGACAGAGTGAGGGAGGGGGTGACTAGTGACAGAGTGAAAAAGGGGGTGACTAGTGACAGAGGGAGGGGTGACTAGGGACAGAGTGAGGGAGGTGGTGACTAGTGACAGTCACCACCTCCCTCTCTCACCAGTCATCCCCTCACTCTGTCACCACTCTGCCACTAGTCATCCCCGCCTCACTCTGTCACTAGTCACCCCTTCTCACTCTGTCTACTAGTCACCACCCTCACTCACTCTGTCAGTGACAGAGTGAGGGAGGGTGTGACTAGTGACAGAGAGAGGGAGGGGGTGACTAGTGACAGAGTGATGGGGGAAGGGGTGACTAGTGACAGAGTGAGGGAGGTGGTGATTAGTGACAGAGGGAGGGATGCGGTGACTAGTGACAGTCACCACCTCCTTCACTCTGTCACTGTCACCCCCTCCCTCACTCTGTCACTGTGTCACCCCCTTCCTCACTCTGTCACTAGTCACCCCTTCCTTCCCTCACTCTGTCACTAGTCACCCCCTCACTCTAGTGACAGAGTGAGGGAGGGTGTGACAAGTGACAGAGGGAGGAGTGACTAGGGACAAAGTGAGGGAGGTGGTGACTAGTGACAGTCACCACCTCCCTCACTCTGTCACCAGTCATCCCCTCACTCTGTCACCAGTCATCCCCTCACTCTGCCACTAGTCACCCCTTCCCTCCCTCTGTCACCTGTCACCCCCTCACTCTAGTGAAAGAGTGAGGGACGGTGTGACTAGTGACAGAGAAAGAGGGGGGGTGACTAGTGACAGAGGGAGGGATGAGGTGACTAGTGACAGTCACCACCTCCTTCACTCTGTCACTAGTCACCCCCTCCCTCACTCTGCCATTGTGTCACCCCCTTCCTCACTCTGTCACTAGTCACCCACTCTCTCCCTCACTCTGTCACTAGTCACCCCCTCTCTCATTCTGTCACTAGTCATCCTCTTCCTTACTGTCACTAGTCCCACCCTCCCTCACTGTGTCACTGTGTCACCCCCTTCCTCACTCTATCACTAGTCACCCCTTCCCTCACTCTGTCACCTGTTACCCCCTCACTCTGTCACTAGTCACCCCCTCACTCTAGTGACAGAGTGAGGGAGGGTGTGACGAGTGACTAGGGACAAAGTGAGGGAGGTGGTGACTAGTGACAGTCACCACCTCCCTCACTTTGTCACTAGTCACCACCTCCCTCACTCTGTCACCAGTCATCCCCTCACTCTGCCACTAGTCACCCCTTCCCTCACTCTGTCACCTGTCACCCCCTCACTCTAGTGACAGAGTGAGGGACGGTGTGACTAGTGACAGTCACCACCTCCTTTACTCTGTCACTAGTCACCCCCTCCCTCACTCTGTCATTGTGTCACCCCTTCCTCACTCTGTCACTAGTCACCCACTCCCTCACTCACTCCGTCACTAGTCACTCCCTCCCTCTGTCACTAGTCATTCCCTCCCTCTGTCACTAGTCATTCCCTCCCTCTGTCACCAGTCATCCCCTCACTCTGTCACCAGTCACCTCTTCCCTCCCTCACTTTGCCACTAGTCATCTCTTCCCTCCCTCCCCCACTCTGCCACTAGTCACCCATTCCCTAACTCTGTCACTAGTCACCCCCTCTCCCTCCCTCTGTCACTAGTCAACCACTCTGTCACCAGTCACCCCCACTCACTGTGTCTCCCCCTCACTCTGCCACCACTCAACCCCTCCTTCCCTCACTCTGCCACCAGGTACCCCCTCACTCTGCCACCTGTCACCTTCTCCCTCATACACTCTGTCACCTGTCACATATGCATTCACACAGACACTATATACAAAAAGCACATGTAGTCATCCAGACATGCACAAGTGCATTCACACAGACTCAAATACAAACATGCATTGATACACAGGTCTTCACAATATACACATCCAAAGGAATGCCGTATTATGAGTTATATTTAACATTTATTTAATGCACGCATATTTGGCCTTCAAAGGGCCTGGGATCTAATTTTGCCCGGGGGCCCCAAAGGCTCTCAGTCCGCCCCTGTATATATATATATATGATCTAAGTACTTTTATATACACATACACATACATACATCATTAAGTGTTTTTTAATATTATATATATATATATATATATA